CATATTTTAAAATTTACGTGGAAGATTTTTAGAAGCAGATTATTTTTGGTATTATTGGTAAACTGATGGCTATAGCCATATATTTTGGATATAGTATATAGTAAATTTAAAAGTAAACTACGTACACGTCATCAATCAGCTGATCGGGCACGGTTGTCAATGTGATGCTAAAATCCTTGCATAAAGGGAAAGTGGTAGTGCAACTACAGGGCGATAGATGGCGTTTACATGAATAATGCCAAAATGTCAAAAGTCTGAGTTTTTATAACCTATATGATGCACCGCCAAAAGTATGTTTTTAGCCATTTTTAAAGACATTTTCTGATATAAAACCCAAAAATTTTGCCATCTAAAGTCAGTCTCTGGTATATATATTATTATTTTATGTATCCAACATATATTTTGTTAAATATTCTAATATATAATTAATAATAATCCTATTTACTTCTCTAACAGCTGTTAAAGGTAACAAAGGTCCATTATTATCCCGTTCTGCCTCTAAATAGCGTATTAAGGATGACACCAACTCTTGACTCCGACTATTTAAATGCTTCGGCATTTTAAATATAGGAAACACAAAAAAACGATATATAACAAACACAAAAACGGCAATGAAAACTTAAACGATATAAAATAACACAAACAACAAACAAAATAAACGAAATAATACACGAATTAAACGAAATATTCAAAAACACAACTGACAGCTTCGAAATTCTAAAACGTCAAATTCTTTTTTATGTGTCATTTAAATATGAAATATTTGAATGTAAATATGACAACATCTTAATTGTTGCCAACTGATGATGTTTAAAATGCATTCAAATATTCAATTACAGACTTCGATTTAGTCATTTAGTGTTGGTACCAATGCGTAAAATTTTTGTTTTATTGATGACGTGTACGTAGTTTACTTTTAAATTTACTATATATACCTACTATTTTTACAAGCATTTCATAATTCTGTAATTACTTACATTGAAATTATCGAGTTTGCGACATTTTGTAAGGTTTGACGTTTGACATATCGTCGCCGGGCGTGCAAATTGCACGGTGCAATATATCTCCAATGTGCAATATCCAAAAGTTTACAGGAGAGACTAATAACGTTTAAATGATTAAATATTGGCGGTTTTTAAATCATGCATAAGTGCGCAAAATTTGATTTTACATTGTAGATATATCTAATATATTAGAAAAATGTGCGCAAAGTTTAGAAAAATATGTTAATATCATAAACAAAATTTTGAGCATACTGTCACATTGGAGGTATATATTTTATACAACACGTCGAAGAAAACATATTAGCTGCCTTGCTCTGATCAGAGCAAGGCAGCCTCTGCTAAGGCCTCGGCAGCGAACACTGAGCTCCCAGTGAACCAAACCGTGACTTATGACCTAAAATTTACGTAACACGTAGATCATATGTAGGTAATACAATTCTTACGTCATAGTGACATAATACTGACCCAAAACGTGACTTTCATATGATGTAATTAAATGACTTACATATTACGTACATCTTATGTAATATTAAAGTCATATCGTGACGTAACATTAAAGTCACTTTTCTTACGTAAGACTGACATAAGAAATCTGTCATAATATTACATAAGTTTTAGGTCACTGTCTTATGTAAGACTGACGTAATAAATCTGTCATAATATTACCTAAGTTTTAGGTCACTTTCTTACGTAAGGCTGACGTAAGAAATACGTCATACTATTACATACGTTTTAGGTCACTTTCTTACGTAAGACTGACGTAAGAATTATGTCATATTATTACATAAGTTTAAGGTTACTTTCTTAGGTAAGACTGACATAAGAAATTTGTTATACATATTATTTAGACGAACTAGATGCAAAAGTAATTTCAAAGTATGAAATTCACTAGTGTATTTTAATGTTTAAATTAAACTAATTTCAATGAATGGACTTTTATTTTCAATGAATGAAATAGGCAAACAATTTTTATTTTTTATTCATTGAAATGGTTAATTACAATCATTGAGTAAAATAACGTAAGTAAATTCTATTGATTAAAATTGATGCCGATTATTTTAAACAATAAAATCAGTGGATACTTTTCCTTACCAATCAGTTTAATTTAAACATTAAAATACAGCAAATTTCATACCTTGAAATTACTTTTGCATCTAGCATGATGAAAGAAATAACGCGAAGTTCCTTGAATTTTTTGGCTACTTAGTACTTGGTCGATTAAATGAAAATATGGTTTAAAATTAATAAAAAAATAATGTATCTTAATTTAATATGTAATAAACATCATATAGATTTTTATGATTCCGGTTCCTACTGCTTTATGACGTAAAAAATTTTGAAAATAGCGTCGTACTTTCAAAAGTACACATTTTATTCAATGGTCATGTGAAAAATCATGTAGGTAATCATGTATCAAGATTTACGTGTTATTACGCGTTAACGTGGTATTTTTGTATTGTATGTTACTGTTATTATTTTTTGATTTTTTTTAAAAATGGCGCTTTTGGTGAAAGTGGAATTTTTTTGTTCCACCCTGTACAATCGAAAAAATAAGTAGTTACGCTTTAAAAGACCTGAAATGATATTTCACTCACTTCAAATTTTTTTAAATGTGACCTTGGAAGTACGACTTCATTTGTTTTTTTTTAATCCATGCATGTCAAAAAATGTTACCTATTAAAATACTAAAATATTTTAAATTTCTAAAATAAAATGTTGTCCCTAGCTATAGCTATAGCTACTCATAAAAAGCGATTTTGTTCTTATTTCTGACATACCCTGTAAAGAATCTGAAAAATTAGCAGTTGGTTCAAAATCCATTGTGAGTTTGTTTTGATCAGCTTCATAAATTAGATAAAGTATCAGCTTGCCGTTGACAGCTGTCGTACTAGTACGACGCCATTTTAGAAGTTTTTCAAAAGTGGTTTAAGACTTAAACCAATTTTGAAAAATTAAACTTTAAGTCAAAAAGTAGTACACAGAGTACCATTCTCTCTGGTAGTACCTATATATTTAATGCCTTGTTTAACATACTAAAATTTCAATTTCCAAATACAGAGGTTCAAAAAATAAAACTATAATAAATAATACAACCAAATTTAAAGAATTTAGTATTATAATATAATATGGTATAATTACATATTAATATAATACCTATAATAATAGATAGGTATTTGCACAATATTGTGGGTATTAGTATATTTTTTAAATTTAAAAAATGATAAATAAAAGAAATGAAATTGACAAACGAAATTATTTAAGTACACTGAGAATATTTAGTATTAAGAAACCAAGAGATTTTTAATAATATATGTAAACTATTAAAGAATTCTTCATTGATAAATAAATTTTTTAATAATAGTATAATATGGTCCGGTTATTGTGTTTCAGACAAATAAGGGTAAAGTTGTCAAATAACATTGATATATTAATTGCAATATGCAGTATGGTTGCCTATGATAAGTAGGCATCTACTATAATATAGTAGAAATATACTTATCATGGGCAACCACTATTGCATAATACATCTCGCTTATGTGGCACTAATCGTTAAGTATATAAGTTGACACTGGCTGCATTGCTATTTGAGATTTAGGAATCCGAACCTCGGCAAATAAACGAATTACGAATTGTGGACCACGATAAAATCATAGATGACCGAAGGAATAAATAAAGGATAAAATTTAGCTTTTTCACTGGAATTCTTTGTTGGAGCCAGGATTCTTCCGTCAGGATCGTCATGGAATTTCCGTGGCCCTCTGCTTAAACAGTGATGAAAAATAGGGAAGGGGGCTTCGTCATTCTTAGGTCATATTTATGTCACATTTATTACGTAAATATTACGTAATGGTATGATGTCAGTGTTACATCAAGATGTTTACGTCCTATTTATGTCATATTTATTACGTCAGAGTCTGACGTAAGGAAGTGTGAAATAATGACTCTTGCATGACTCAAGTGTGACCTATATCTTACGTAAGCGTGACTTGACATGACGTCATATTTACGTCATATTTACGTAATTGTGTTTACTGGGCTCTGCATAAAATAAGCGTTTTCTCCCCCTGTTAGGTAATGTACCATAATTTAGCAGTAAAATAAAATTTAAAATTTTATCAAAAACGGTCGACTGTGATTTTTTTTTTAAATTAATAAAAAATCAAAGAACTTTACTTTATAGACAATTAATAATATGAGGGCATTTATAATTTTGATTATTGTAAATATTACATTACTTAATAGGTATATTTATTTAAAATGATCCTATTGCCTAATCTGCGCGGATACCTACTGGGTTTTTAACCATTTAACTCGATATGTTCTGAAAATAAAGATAATTGTCTATTTAAATTTGTATTGTCTTATAAGTTTTAGGCAAAAACAGCTAGCTAAATGTAATACAAAAAGGGGGATTTTATTTAAAACATGTATCTTCGAATTCAATCTTGTACCTTAAAAGTGGCAAACGATGAAGTACATAAATAGTAGGTATAGTAGTTATGTACTTCATAAACATGCATTGAATTTAAATCCCATTGCAAATCCGAAGAATTTAACAACGTAGAACATGTTTGGATTATGTTTACCTTTTAAATAACATAGATAAATGCATTTTCAACATTCTCAATGGGATCACTGTCTGTTTATGTTCTTGGACCACTCCTAATTTTCATAGTTTACGTTAAGTAAGTACACGATACCATCATTAAATATTAACCGTTATTCAATACACCGGTGCTGATTTATACCATATCATCCAATACGTTACGGTTTTAACCACTTAAAACTGTTTTTATCTATATAGTTAAATTATTTGATAAATGTATTTAGTTTTTTGAAAAACGCGTTTCCTAATAAACTCCGTTCAAATTTAGTAGCTGGCGCCATCTGCGGGAGAGTAGTGGAAATGCGCACGTAAAATTGAAGGGTGCTGTGTGAAACAATAGTAAAATATAATTACCTGTAATGCGATAATAAAAAATGACCTGCGCACAGCCTGGTGTTGTTCCTATTGTTTAATATGGCAGTTTATCCAAACGGTCACATTTCTTGTGTAAAAGTGGAAAATTCTAGTACGCGTATGTTATAACAGCGATAATCAAGTGAAAATCCAGAGATTTTCAGTTTAAGTTATAAAAGTAAGTGAAAATTTAATTTATAGAAAGCTTATTAGTTTTATCGAAAATGTGCTCTGCCGAAACAGGTACATTCATGGCGCACTCACATGTTTTACCAAAAATACAAAACATTGCAATAAAGTTGGCTGTGCCTTGCTGACAGTTATTTCTTTTGGCAGTTAGTTAAACAATTGGATGTAGTGGTAAATTCAAGCCGTATTTCTATGTATTTTGTTCGAATTTAATCAATTACCGTGCTTTTACTACGTGCGTACGTTTTTGTTTATACCGAAATTCTTCTTTCAGATTCCTATTCCGAGCATCATGGCTAAAACGATGAACAACGGTAAGTTTATCTTAAATATCTTAAATTTAATGGTTATAAAAACTATAACTAGTTTAAAAAAATAGGTTTTTTATTTGGCTTGACTATTTTATTCGCGATTATAGGCATTAAATGAAAGATCTAAGCTTAGAAGATTTAAATTTATAAATTATAGGTACCTACCATTTTTAATCCTTTATTTAAATACCTACATTGTTGAGTGAGTATGCCTACATTGTTTGAGATTGATAAAAATTAAAAAGATCCTAATTAAATAAAGCATCTAAATTTATATATATTTATATATATATATATTTTTTTCTCGGAACCACGCTCAAAAGTTTCGTATAGATATAAAAATGAGTCTGTGAGAAAATGAGCTCTTAATTTCAAAATTAAGATGTTCCGCATCGCACTTTTCGATTTTCCATAAGAATAACAAAGGAAAAATTATTTTTGTTTCTTTTTATTTTTGTAACTAAAGAACAATAGGTCGTACTTTAAAGTTCTTGACATATTGTAGAGAATTGAACGCTCTACAAAAAAGGTTTCTTATTATTTTTTGATAAATTTGATCCTTCTAAAGAAATTTAAGGTAAAAGTTCAAATTATAAAAATTTTTTTGGGTTTTTTAACTACCCGACTCATTTAAAAAAAATTGAAATATTTTTGTAGAGAATTAAATCACACAGAGCAAATACAAAAGGTTTAAGAAGGTTCTGGACCATTTTTTAAAATAAAACACCATAATAAGTTCATTTTCCACGTTTTTTTAAAAAATAAATTTTGTTTTATTTAAACATTTTTATTAATAAATAATTAATTCAGATGTAAAATAACTTAACAAAATTATAAAATTGTTTAAAAATGTTTGTATAGGTATGTTTACATGGGAGTAAATGGATAAATATTTTTGAAGTAGGTACTGTAGCTTTCATAAAAATATTTATAAACGTTATGAAATTTTTAGTAATTTGGCGTTTTTTAACAATTTTACATTTTTATTTTATTTTACCTCTTTTTAATCAATTATTAATAATTTAATTAATTAATAATTAATAGGTAATAATTTATATCGAACACACAAGTGAGGCAGCGGCCACGCCACATGTGATTCCCGCGAAACTAGTCACAATGTTGCCAGTTTTATCGCATTTTACCTTTTAGCGATCGAGCATGTTCGATAGTGAGCTTATATTCATTTAAAGCTTGGCGAAGCTTCGCAAACGTTCGAGCACACTCGAGAACGTTCCCTCATTTACAACACTAACCACAATTATTATTTTTTAAGTTTTAATCAATTTTTTTTTTAAGTTTTAACTTGTTTGAAAATTATAAATTGTTCATACTTTAATATTTCCTTATTTTAAATCGCAATACTCAAATTTGTTAATGTTGTATTAATTGTAGTTTTATGCATTATGCGTTTATAAACTTTTTTAGACACTATTTTAATTAAGCACTCGCTCGCAAGCTCTCTCGTGCCTAAATTAAATTTGTATCTAAAATGGCGCTTATCAAACTTGATACATAACATACTAATATATATTGGATAATTTTTAAATTTGCGCGGTTATGTATTTCCATTGTTATGATAAACAAAATAATCACCAATTATTTTGTAAAACAAAACATTTTGTGATAACTAAAACTGATTATTTTATTTACAAATAACTAGTAATTATTACAATTTTTCATGTTATTCTCATATTGTGATTAAAATTGGTTACATCGTTATTTAAACAAAATTGCGGACGTTTAATAAAATAGATTCTTATTAATATAAACCAGAATTTATTGCAAATAATATACTCATAATAGGTGTTCTTAATTTGGGTTAAGGATTAATGAATATTTATAAATGATTGTCGCTTAGCTGGCCAATTAGAATTTATTTATGAATTGACACGAGCCAACATTTTTAAGAACCTGCGTAAATTAATCAGTTATAATAAAGTTAATAAAACAATTGTTTAATTAATAATGCATGATAATTATAATCATAGTTGTGTCAAAATTATTTTGTTATAAAATTATTTTTTTATTAAATTATGTTTTTTTCAAATAATTTTTTTATGAAATTATTTTTTTATCAACTTATTTTTTTATCAAATAATTTTTTTATTAAATTACGATTTTATCAACTTATTTTTTTATGAAATTATTTTTTATTAACTTATTTTTTTATTAAAATTTTTTTTATTAAACTATTTTTTATGGATGACCTTGTTTCCTTTTTTAAGGGGAAATTTGTGCGCATAGTCAGTATAATAATAATAATAATTTTTATTCATGTTAACATGCACAGATACATTTACACAGGTCAGAACAAAAAAAAATTACAAACTATAAAAACCTTCACGATTTAAAGAAAAAAAATATAACACAAAATTTGGAAATAAAATATAAGGTAGATAAAATATATACTTAAAATTGTTGATTAAAACTACACCTAAAAATAAAACTTTACATGAAGAACATTAATTTTTTAAAAATCACACGGAAGACTAATCGCAAGTTAAAAATTCGTTTATGTCATAAAACGTTTTTATTATTAAGTTAAGTTAAGTTTTTATTATTAAGTTAAGTTAACGTTTTTATTATTAAGTTAAAAATTCGTTTATGTCATAAAACATTTTTATTATTAATTATTTCTTTAGACATATCTTAAATTGTTTCAAAGTTAACTGTTTTATTCAGTTCATAAGTGGGGGATTTAAAATAGACCATAGACATATTAATATGTCCATGTATGATATGATTTGTAAACTAAATTAAATTTAGGTTATATCAAATTTTATAATATTCATATTATAATAATAATAATAATAAACTTTATTGCGTAATATACATAATATACAAAACACAATGGGTGTAAGCTCAGCATAGCTGGTCTACCGCTTAAACCATAACTTAGAAATAAACAAATATAAATAAAAAAGATATAAATAAATAAGTATCAGGTAACAAACAAATTTGATCAAATATTTATTTGGTTGATTAAACTTTGCTTCTTAAGGTATTTTTTAAATGTTATCATAGAGACATCTAAAGAAAAAATATTTAGGTTTTCATTTATAAATTTAGGCGCCAAATATTGAACAATTTTGAAATTTAGCAGATTTATGCTGGGGAATTGTATAAAAATTGGTTTGTCTTAAATTAACATTGTGCATGGCGGACCTTTGTTGCAATAAAATAAATAAATAAGATGGTTCACCTGTTTTTAAAACATTAAAAATTAAAGTGCCCAATTGACAGTTAAAAACATATTCGCATTTTAAAATATTTAGACTTAAATAAAACGGGGTTACATGATCTCTATATCTAATATTAAAAGAAAACCTTAGACAACAATGTAAAAGCCACTAAAAATCTCGTAAAGACAATGAAAAAAACAATGCCAAAACAATTGATATACTACAGAAAACAAACAAAATGGTTAATTATTAAAACCATCTACATATTAATATGTCTATAATAAAAACCGTTTAAATATCGTGGTCAAAATACAACGTTGCCAAATTCTTGCTGTTATAAACACGCCATTATAAAATCCAAAATATCATCATTTTATGTGTTTTTTATTGTTAAATGCTTTTTTTATACAATTTATTATTCTTTCCAAATAGGAACAAAAATATGGTATTTTTTTAAACCGGCCCTACTTTTTTTTTAATTCTGCGTTTTCTAATTTAAAACATACATATTCAAGTGCAGTTAATTAAATTTAACAAGCGAAAGTGTCGATTTATTTTTTTACAATTCATTCTTGATTTTTAGTCTTGATTGGTTCGAATGACAATTTGCAAGTGTAAACAAATAAAAATAAAATAAATACGAATAATTTCGAATAATTACCGTTGCCTGTCATTTTAAATTGCCAGCGATTATTTTAAGTACCTACCTCTAAAATAAACAAGAATAATTTGCCAAAAGTCATATTTGAAATATTAAAAATACCAAAATAACATTGTAAACCCATAGATACAGTTTGGTTGTGTTCATTGAAAAAAATACGTATTTGAAATTGTAATATTTGACTTGGATTTGCGTCAGATCGTTTCGCAGAAAAAAATGTAATTATTCCATGTGTTACATTCTAAAACGACCGGTGAAGTGTAATGTTAAAAAATCATTAACGTGTGAGTCATGTCATATTTAAATTCAGACTCTCCCTTTTATTTTAAAAAGTTTGTTATAAAACAAGCGAATTAAAAACCTTACATTGAACCAAAATTTAGTTTTAAGTTACTATTATTTGTCCAGTTTAAGGTTTATAATAAATAAATATGCTAAAACACAGATTTTTTTAAAAGTGGAAATAGGTATTTAATATTTGTTTTAACAGATTTTTTTATTTTATTTTTTCGTAAGAACTACAAAAGCTTTACAGTGAATTGAAGATTTGAACCCATGTGGGAAGTATGGACTATGTTGTGATGAATGAATGCCTGTTGATGGTATTGAGCACGTGACTGCTTCTATAAAGCATTGGAGTATAAAAAAAAGTTATATGCAGGCGCCAGGTATCGATCCCGGTCAGGGCCGTAGCGACGGACTCAGGGGCCCCGGTGCAAAACTTTAGGATAGGATAGGATATCGAAAATTACGATTTTTTAGTAAAACTTTTTAGTTTTGGGGGCCCCTTTGAGGTCGGGGGCCCTGGTGCACCGCACCGACTGCACCAGCCTCGCTACGGCCCTGATCCCGGTACTTCTCGCATGCTAAGCGAGCGCTCTGCTACCTGAGTTAAGAGGGTCGCTGGTAAAATTGAAGGCTCGCGCATATTGTTGGAATTGATTGACAAAATTAATGACAATAAATATTTATTAAAGGTAATGGCGGCCAATTTTTTTAAAATTATATAAATAAAATATTTTATTTTTGTAATTAATATCTGTTTTCTATGTTTACTCCCCATCCAGACTCTCTTTCTTCCACTTAATCCTCGAATTTGAATCCTCGACTTAGTTGTATTCATTTTTATATGGTCCAAATGCCCACACGAAGGACAGAAT